GCTAGTTCAGAGTGACAACTGTTGCCCAGCAATACTGTACTGACTTACCGTGATAGAAAAGCGACTGGAATTTTTCGGATCTCTTTCAACAAGTAACTGGAATATATCGATTCCATGTCCGAACTGAAGGAACCGCCCTATCAACTCTGTTAGATCAAACTTCTCCGGTGTAAAGGGATCCTCCGGGTCAGATCTGGAGCCCGGCGTATCGGGCGGCAGCAACCTCCAGCCTTTAAACATTCGGATCAGAACATCTTGAAGTGGCTTTAATCCGAGCTGGTCAATTTCATGTTCGTTGGTGCAGGAGGCGTAATAGACTTGAGCTAGTTCCAGACCCCGGCTGTCCGGTGGCGTTGAAGTATCCTCTAAAAGCCCAATGGATATGGTTAATTTTGTTAAAACACCTGTCCCGACTGGAGACAAAGGCTATAAGTTTTGTCTAAAGTTAAATTTCAGCTATGTTTGCTTGCGTAATGGCAGTATTCCGATGTTAAAGAACAGTTGACTGGAAGCAAAAGAGGCTACTTTTTATTGTTTGTATAACTACGTATTTGTCAATATAGTCACTACACGCCCTTGACACCCAACCCCAAAAAGTCTCATAAGCATGTTCGCTAGTCCGAAACTGAATATATAAAGAGTTGTAGGCTGAAAACATGTCAGTCATTTGCAGTTTCTAGAAAATGGAAACAAAAGGATTGATGCTTAAACATTTCACCAAGTGCTCATGTGGTCGGTGAAGACCGCTTTGCAAATGATCCAACATGGCTGACGAGGTATACTACAGTATGCATCCAAGACGTCAGATGCGTAAAAGTATTGTTCCTCTATCAGCTATGCATCTTATCATTTACTACCCGCAATCCTCTCTCTAAATCTGCATCTCCAACTTCTTCCTGAAGACCTGTGGCTAGTTTTATTTCAAAGGTAACAGTCTCCCTCTATCAAATGACCCACTGTATTTTCGCTGTCGTAAATGCGAGATGTCAGTTAAGGGGAACAAGCTAACATAGAAGTTTTCCTTGCTCAACCGGCATTGCCGCATAAGCAAATAAAAAGGCTTACCTGAGTAAACATTAGGACTAGTTTAGTTTTCAGTCCTAATCCTGTTTGATATTGATTCAGATCGGCAAAAGCAAATAAACGTGCATTTAACATGTCACTGAACATGTCACCCGTTGAAAGACTTTTAGTTAGGTTTTCATGTGCACATGGGACCACATTTAAGGACCTTTTCACACATATGGTCGTACTGACGTGAGAGATATTTTCACTTGGAAAGTGAAGGTCAAGCTGTGGAAGTTGTCAGAACAAGCGTGATTGATCCTGGAGGAAAAAATGTTAACTTGTACTTAGTTTATCAGATCGACTGCCATTCATCGACGTAAAGCCAACCATTACAACTTCTGACCTCATAATATGTCTGCCCTGGTTAATTCTCTAGAGCCGCCGGCTGTGTTATAAGTTGGTTCTCAAGACGCAACCTCTTTTTAAACAAAACGTCTTGTTTTGTGGGTAAAAAAAAATCAGAAAAAAAGTTATAAAAAACTAAAGGAAGTTTCTAGGGTACTTTGAGTGCAAGGCTAAACTGCTACAACGGTATCCTCATCTCCCATTTCGCCATGATAGTTACCAAGCAAAGGACTTCCATTAAAATAATTCCCACCTTCATTAAAATTACCTAGAAAATTAATCTTTAATTATTTAAATAGATCTGTACACAATCGAAAAAAAATGGGATGAAAATATCAGGCTAGAATTCGCAAAAATATGCTTTGTTGTTCGCTTTGGACAAGTTACAAGACTTTTAGACTGCATTTAACTTTGAAGAAGGCAAAAGAGATGCAAGATGAAAAATAAAATGACGGCATAGAATTTAACGACCACCTATCTAAAAAGTAGCCAGCTTTGCATATTTCTTGTATGACTTTTTTGGTAAGAAACCGGCCTAGAGGTAGCAAAGACGATGCGTAAAAGATCAGTGAATGTTTAGTTGCTATGCGAGTGTGCGATTCTCGAAAGAATGGGGGAAGTTCTACAGCAGAGCTCGAAGCCCACCCCGCGTGTCGAATTAGCATTCCTTGGTTTTTATCCATCATGTTTGGCCCTCCTCGATCATTTTCTTTCTGAACAGGTAATCTTATGAATATGCAAGGACTGACTATAAGAAGCCGTTAACTTTTATGAATTCATTTCCCCTTCATATTTAATCGCGCCTGCCTTCAAATGTATTCAGCGAAAGCAATTTTTTTTTAACTTTAACGTGTTGGTTTATTCAGAAGGTAATCTTTAACTTAGTAGATACGTATATTCGCGGGTCTGGAGACGCGGGCCGAAATTTCACACTTACAGTTCGGCCAAGTTTCATCAGCCACTGTGAGATAACTGCGTGATCGCCACAAGCTGCTAGCAGGCAGTCAATAGTATAACCTACACACAGGGAAGATTAAAAGACATTTCGTGACTAGCC